GTCTGTGCTCTTCTAATTTCGACAATACTCTAATTGTTGTGACTAATGAGTCTGTGTGCTACATCAATACTTTGAAAAGTAACAACTTAAAGTCAGACTGTTTCTAAAGCACATTTAAACACACGTGAACCGAAGTGCTGCACAGCAGGTGAAACATTCAGTAAACAATTCATATAAAATGAATCATTTAAGAACATTACATCTATATTAAAATACACAAATCTGCATTTTCTCAGATTGTGATTGTTCAGACAGCTTCAGTAAACGTACCCCGTTACGCTCACAGACTGAGAGCACCCTCAAAACGTTCTGACACACGTTGTCGACCGTCGTGTTCCCAAACACGCAGGTGACACCCAGGATGTGGATGTTAGGCGCCGCCAACGCCATCATTATTGCCTGAGCATCATCTATGCCGCAATCGGTGTCGATGATCATTAGCTTCTTTTCCATGATCTCCTGTAAGATTACAAACAACACAATACATTGACAGTAAAACAGTAAAATATGATGAGCTCCTAACAGGCGGACATATGCACCACCTGGTTTTTCATTAGAGAGGAGTTTTTCACTGCTCTGCTTATCAAATATCTCCAGGATCCTGATCCTCAGCTCACACACTAGATCCTGCTCAGTATTCAGAGCTGTCTGAAGGACCTTTGTCATCATTACCTGTATCTGCTGAGAGAAACTCCTCAAGTGGACTTCTGTACCTTTGGAGCCTGCCTCGGTTCTTGTTGCCTCACACCTGGCTGTGGCAGCACAGGTAGGTGGAGACACTCATACAGATTAACTTCTCCTCAGTGACCCTTTGGACTCTGAGGTTACTCTTTCTGGCAACAGACAGTTTTGTTTTGTTGGTTTTTTTTGACATTTTAATCTTCAAGTCTTCAATCAAAGATTAAACAGCAGTTTAATATTCCTCACCATGACCTCTGAGGAGTGTTATCCTGTTATCAGGTTTGATTTACCCCTCAGCGGTCTTTGGGTTGACTGGCCCTTTTTCTTTTCTGTGTTTGTTAAAACAAGAAATGCCAGGGAAATGCTCTATTAGCAATGAAAATCCTACAGATAATACTAGAGTCAGTGGTGTCATTTTAGTTCAGAAAGGTACTGAAAGGCGCATTTAAAATATTTTTACAGAAAAAAAAAAGAAGTTTTGACACCAATATCACATCAATCATATTTGTTACTTGTTACGAAGAGCAAAATATCCCACACAAATCTGACTAAACTGGGAGCTGCTTCCACAAAAGAGAGCCCTGAAAACTGAAGGCTTTTCAGAATGTTTTTTAAAACAACCTAATAATAATGAACTCAATTACTTCTGGGCTGAATTAATAAAGTATTTAAGTAAGTAAATAAGTGAGGTTTGCTCATAGGGGGTCATCTTGATTGTTAGCTCTTTGTCTTACAATGAAAAGCATCTTGATGCAACTGTTGATCTGATTTGGCGTTATGTAAATAACGTAAAGTGTTATTGGTTATTCAAATAATATTATCAACTCAAATGTGTTAAATAAATTCTAGTATTGGAACTGAAAAAAACCCATATCTTAACCATGAACAAATATTTAAAAGAGAAGTTGACCCAAGGTTCTTTAAAACCCGGTTTCTAAAAAAAATTAAATGAAATTAGATTTTTTTTAAAACAAAAAAACGTTTCAAACTACATGACAAGCTGAAAGGGTTGTTTTGTTGTGTTAACTAATTATTATGGAAAGTTACGATCACTGTGATTTAGTGACCATTGTAACATGTTCAAGCACACTGCTCTGTATAAACTGCTTTTATAACTTTGAAGTATCCGTATCGGTAAGACTGGCCCTGTATTTTACTTGTTATCATATAGCACACCACCAGGGACAGGAGAAGTCATGCTGCTAGTGATTCGGCTAAGCTAAGCTAATAGCAATTAGGTTAGCTTCCTAAACAAACAATGAGTGAATATTATGCGTATAATTTGCAGATGATTCAGCAAAGAGTGTGTTTCTGATAAAGGACGTGAAGGTTACAATGTGAAATGAGCCGTTACACAAAAGCATGTAAGGATGTAATGCACAGATTGACCTGCTGAAAAACACCACTGTAAGTAGTAACAGGAACCGGAAGTGATCCAATAGCAAGCCACGACCGCCAGAGGACGCGCAAAGATCAAAGTTCAGGTTTGCTTATAGTTTTTAGAGTCAGGTCACCTGTTAGAAGAAAGAAATCACAGTATGTCCACTACAAAAACGGCCAATCTGTATTTATAGAGTGGTCGTGCGGTTTAAACTGCAAGTAATGTAATTATGTTTTCGCTTTTAAAGGTTTAAGTCGGATCTCCAATGAACAGACTCACCTTAGATCTGCGTGCGTGAGCTTCAAAAAGCCACCGCAGGCGCTCGAGCAATTCGTTAGCCGCAGAGGGACACATTTCCGGTCTCTTTCTTATAGCCGTCTCCCCTCTGTCACACTGTCTTGTCTCAATCTCTTCCATTTTTCTTTCCTCAGTCTTTCTTACTGGTATGAGTACAGGGCGTGGCACTGGTAACCTTTAAACGTTTAAAACTGCCTTGAAATAATGCAGAAAAATATTAACCGTTATGTTATTATTCATGCTGTCATTATTAACATTTTTGTAGCTATACTGTTAAAAGTGACATACACTTTTAACAGTATAGCTGTGATCAGCAGCTATGCACTCTGTGTTTGTGTGCATTGTGGTACAGGGGTCGTCCTCTGGACCACAGGGCGATGTATAAAGATGCTTGGGACAGCGTCTGCCTTCAGTCTCAACTTTCCCTTTTTAGTACAAACTGATCTGCCTCAAAATGTGCCTACAGACTAACTTCATTATATTTATTTCCATATACACAGAAACTAACTCTACAGTAGATAGTTTCATTTACAGGAAATGCAGCTCTACATGTCATTACATGTCTATAGGTTTATAAAAGTTTATGTTACATTAGTAACTGATGATTCTTTGCTAAATATCAGCAGGCAGTTTCCCATTCAAGCCTACTGCATGTCTGCATTTAACCTGTTCTCGGCAATACCAATGGAGGTATTGAGATTCTCAACTCCTGGGTTTTTGGAAAATGTTTTAAGTATATGCCTTTCTGTGTGGAGTTTGCATGTTGTCTCCGTGTTTGCGTGGGTTCTCTCCGGGTACTCCGGCTTCCTCCCACAGTCCAAAGACATAACTCTGAATTAGCCCTGTGACAAACTGGCGACCTGTCCAGGGTGTACCCTGCCTCTCGCCCTATGACAACTGGGATAGGCTCCAGCCCCCCCACCCTGAAAAAGGATAAGCGGAGGAGAATGGATGGGTGGATGGAAAAACAATGTTAACTTGTTACAATGACGTTAAAGCCATAGTAACATAGTAACTGTTAACGCCGCGGGTAACGGTGACCGTTTACTCACCGCATACATATATATTAATGAAACTACATATAAGATAGTATTTTTTTTTTTTAAACTAATGCATTTAGAGATTAATAATTACCACAAATAATAAATGTATCGACGGATGTGTCTCTGAGTCTACAAATTTAAATTGTCCGGTATGCACTTTCAGGAACTATCTGAATGTATCACGTGACGCTGACGAGACTCGTCCATTCAAGTGCTCTACTGTGATTGGTTTAAACTGAGAAATAATTTTACTGAGACGGGAAGAGGAGGCGCCAAACTGGACACGTCCAAATATGTAGTAAATTTAATGCAGTGCAATAACATACACATGTGTGCGATGAAAAGTGTTTTTACTCATTTAAACTTTCTGGTTTTTTTTAACAATCTTATAAGAATTTAACAACGTTGATATTTCCCTTCCTCCCGGTTGCTCCTCAGAATGGTATAGTCCGATGGACCTGCTCAGGAAGAGGCTGCGGGTCAGGAGGACGACGTTTGTTGCTTATTTTCGGCTATTTTCCACATTTTTCGTGCTAATGTGTGCGG